TTTGCATTGTGTCTGCCGCAGGCCACCGTACCACCGGAGGCTCCGTATATCTCCCTGACTCCTCTCCCTGTCACATTTTGGTTCTAAAGCTCCCCGCAGCCTGCTCCCACTTCTGACCCATGTTTTCAAAAGGCCTTCCATTATGTTTTTTAAAGCCTGGGCTTTTGTTCCAAAGACTATTTATGGGTTCAGATATGATTCTGCTGACTGTGTGGACATTCCTCGTACTGACCTAAAATGGACCAGCTTGTTCTGTAGCTGCAGCACCCCATCCAAGGTTACAACAGAAAGGCTGTTTTTTTTTTTGTTGGTGAGGAAAGTAAACATGGAGTGGTTTTATTTATACATCTGACAGCGAATTGAGTAAAAGGTCGGACTGGGTGGTGTCAGAGGAGATGCTGAGCTCGACCCCAGACAGCACAGAGGAAGGAGAGCCATGTGGTTCTGATATGTAGGAGCTATCATTTTAATTTGAACCAGGCTGAATCAAATGTCCAACTCGCCCAAATTACTGAATAACAGTCTTGGCAGGAACAGAATGTAGAGTGAGCTCTGACTTGATTTCCCTCCTGTCAGAGGATATCTGTTTTATTTTTATTTTTATCTTCCTTTTGTTTCTTTCWTCAGGTAGGAAGCCATACTTTAATTCAATCTCTTCATCTGCATAACGTTCTGGAAACAATTTATTCCAGCAGGGGAACGAAGGAACAATGTGCTTTGATAGATAGGAAATCAACTACCATCCGTTACGGTTTGGTTATGTGTCTCAGGTCTCGGCTGGGCTTTCAGCTCCGAAGCGATGCCAACATCAGGGCAGGAGTGCCAGGTTGAAATCTCCCGGTTCTGGTGTTTGGATTTAAAATTGGTTCAACATAATGAGTTTCCAAGTCAGGGTGGATGAACAAAAGTGAGAAAATAATTTAACCAGGGGTTTGGTATTTGTGGAGGATATGAGTGCTATTGTTTTACAGTTGTACTGGTGCCATTTGGTTTGKGGGGATTTGGAGCCAACTGCTGTAAAGGTTCTTCTGATCCAAATGTACTGACCTAGAAACAAAAAGGGGAAAAAACTACATTATTATAAATGTAATATTTTGGTCACATTGTGGGCAGTGATGCTAGAAATGGAATCAGTCTTTTCTGTATTTTTGTACAGATTTGACCAATACATTTTTTTCATTAACAAGAGTCTKACCATTTYCTTCCATCATAATTGACTGAGTGTCAACAAATGTAAAGCCCCAAAGCCAGCTGCACATCTACAACAGAATGACTGAAAAAGAAAAGAATCGAGCCACATTAAAAGAATGGCACTGTTTGAAGGCTTTCTAGAGAAATACGTCATATGCTCTATTTACATCGTCAACATACACATTCTGCCAATTTTGTTTTATCAAATCATCTTTTAATATGAAATTCATGATCAAAATGAAATTGCAAATGGATTCAATTCTTCCATCATAACTGACTGAGTGTCAACAAATGTAAAGCAAAAAAAAGTTAATTTAAMAGCAAACATTGGTTTAGGTGTTACCCATAAATTGTATGATCTAAATGCAGTGCCTATAAAAATATTCACCCTCTTGGAAGTTTTTTACCCCCTCAATCTCAGTCTGTTTGTTCTGATACTAACTCTAACTACATGTAGACAAATGCATCAGAGGTAAATATGAAACAGTTCATTTTAAGTTACACAAAGGACAAACAGCAGAAGTGTGGTAATGTGTTTCAGTGCTACTCTTTGCTTTGACTTTCCTGCAGTTCATCTAATGTACACTGTAGGGTTGTAGACCACCTAANATCCATCCATCCATTTTCTGTACACGCTTTCGGGACACCTCTAATACAAACTATATAGTGATTGTGATTGGTCAGAAGTTCGTGGGAGTGTTTGTGCTGAAAGCGCTTAGACGCTGCATTAGCGTCAACCACTCACTTAGAAAAATAGAAGAAAAAAAAGCGACTCATTCCAGAGCCAACTGTTATTCCAGGAAGCAGCGATTTATAAAGATAGTCAAATGGCCAAAACCTCATAAAAAGGGATAAAACAGATGATTTTCCCAGTGAAATCTGACCAATGAAAACTTTGGGGCTTAATCCAGGACTGGTTTGAAGATAAACAACATTGAATGGCGAGTCGCTGACTTTTTTTTTCTATGTCACCCGCATTGGACTCCATCGGTAGAGAAATCCCATGCTGCAGCTGGAGGGGTTTCCCAGGAGCTTGGCACGGGGTGTCTCAGGAACTATGAAAGGTGTGTGCGAAAACAAATGCCGAACAGCCACGTGATGGCGCGTCGACCAGTCAGCTGCCGAGCGACCATAATGCCTGCTTAACACTGAAACTCCAGTCTGTTCTGTTCTGTATTTTTGTTATAAGTTTAAATTTTYTGTAACACTGAGAATGTCCACTCAGCATTTAGCTTAAAAGACACTACAGAAATCTAGTTTCCCGGTTCTGACTCCTGCTTTCTGATCATCCAATCAAACGATGAGAAAATGTTGACGCTGTCTGAGGCCAGCTAGCTGGCTCTGGTGTCTTCACCTTAGCACCTGATTGGTCAAAGCAACAGTACCGCTGACGTGTTTCACCGTCCCGGTGCCTTCGCTGCTCGTTCTGAAGACCTGAGGCAGATTTGTGGACCCTAGCAACAGATAATGATTGAAATATTATTGGATAAAAACTCTAAATAAATCCAAGTCACTGGAAGCTGCGCAGCCAGAAGAAAAGCTATGAAACAAAGTAAACAGATTATTAAAAAATAATAATATCCTAATTATAATATTAATAATTATAATAAATGTAAAATATTCTATAATGTAAACTAATGATTCTGATTGTGTTTAGGTCAGCAGAGAAGGCTTTGCTGGCCCTGATGGCACACAAGTGGCATCTTTTTATGTTGTCCTCATAAACAACTGCAGCTATAAACTACAGCTCCATACAGTGTAAGCTGACACATATGTCCTTAAATAAAACCACAGACCCATATTTTTATAAGTAAAGATGTAAAAAGGGGTTCTGTCTGTAAATATAATAATATATGTGTCATTGTACAAGGAGAGTCAGAAGTCACTAGACACCCTTTTATTTCAGAAAGAAAAGTGAAAATGACATATCTAAATACACCAGCAAGTAATGGATGAGGGGCCCTATCTTTTAGGCTATGTCCAGAACTTGGCTTCCATCTTGAAAGCCGACATATTGGATCAAAGGCAAGTCTTTCCAAAGATAGGCTAAGCAGGCTGTTCATATTGTCATGTTCCCTTTTATTTCTGAAATAAAAGGGTGTGTTGTGACTGTTGGCTTTTGAATATTATTGTTTGCATGATAATTATTCATGCTTTCATTTGTGTTCCAGTTCACATTTGTTCAGTCAGACAGTCTAAAACACACTTGGGCCACACAAGGCCATCTCAGTGTGGCCCTCAATATGCTCATACAAAAAATAAAAAAAATTTAAAAACTAAGCAATGCGAACAAAAACCTGAATGGCACAAACACTATATTTAACATGCTAAAACAAGTACTTTTGAATTCTGACCAAGCATAGCAACTAAACTAAAATGATCAAAGAAAGCCTGGAAGGGACTTCTGGCAAATCTATCTGAARTAATTTCTTCATTGAAAGGATTTTACAATCTTTTACAATGTTCCCTTGTTTGATTTCTACTTGTGGCCCTTTGGTTCCGTTAACCAAATCAAATTTAATCCCTGGTTAAAAAAAGTGTTTTACCTGGTTAAAAAGCTGCTAAACATATTTCAGTTCCGGAGCGTTAGCATTTTTTTCTGTTTGAACTTGGTGCACTCTGTGATCTGTGTAACATTCTTGCATCATGTTTGACCGAAGGTCGGGTCATGTCCAGCTGTGTTTGCACCAAAGTGACTTGACGCTGTGCAGAACAATGTTCTGTGTATAAATGGTGAGCGTGTGATCCAGCTGAGAGACGCACGGCAGGCGGCGGGCTGCGACACACTGTCATTAAGACACCCCGCCGAGCCAACCTCTGCTTCCCAGCCTGTAATTGGAAATGAGCAGCTTTCTGTCAGCTGTGGATTTACTGCAACACAAGGGAGGCTCGGGCCTCTTTCTGCTCACTGACAGCAGGAACAAACAAAGTCAGGAAACATCAGGAGATAAAGATTCAGTCGTTAGGATGAATGAATGAAGCGCTGTGGTGTCAGGAATCTCTAATTAAGTGTTTTGGGGAGGAGAAGCTG